TGTAAAGGTGGAATATAGGGGAGTGCAGAAGTACATTAAAGTTCCTGCAAGTGATGAATGCTTTCATTACACCAAGTTTCTTCAAGATGGTTTGTATTCAAGTGAAATTTAAAGTGGTGTAAAATAATCTCCAATGTGACTTATTTATAGTAAGGCTTTAACTGGTGGTTTTAGTTAAATTTAACTTTAGTTTTCTTTTTTTCAGTAACGGCTACATTCTGCTGTGAGCCTCAACTCTTCACAGAAGGTGTCCTCGTCCTGACTGATACCTCAGACACTGAAGTTGACTCAGACATTTTTGATGAACTTGTAAGGTCTGGGGTTCGAGCTTTCAGGGTTGGATACCAAAAGCAGCTAGCAACAGGTAAAACTGCTTCATAATAATCTGTAGTAAATTTCTTTATGATGATTAATTCATATCTGAATATTGGTGGAATGTAAAAAATATTCTACCCATGTTTCTTTCTTTTAGTTAAAGGAGAAGTCCGGTCAAAATCAGAATTCAAACTGCTGAAAGTATTTTAAATATAAAATTATTACATACTGTTCAATAAATGATAAGTTTTTTTAATTAGGAGTAATTTTCATTTGAAGGTCCTTTTATGGGGGCAGCCATCTTGGTGAAGAACAGTACTGCCTCCTCCCAGGTTGTGACGTCAGGTTGCGGTATCGGCTGTAGAGCAAGTCCCAATGCCCTATCTGTCCCCTTGTAAATTTATATCCATTTTCAGGCCAAAATATATATATTTTTAACCCCTTAAACAAAGATAGACATGGTATTAAGCATTTAAATTTAAAGTAATACTAATTTTACATTTTAGAGACACAAACAGTCAACAAATAAGCATTAAAGTATGGTTTATGGGTTGGGTTCTGCAATGATGAGTATAAAACTCATCTTTTGAACCAGTCTCTGCTCAAAATGGTGATCTGCCTAATCTACTTCCAGCAGTTATCATCAGTTATTGCAACCGTAAACTGCAGAAAATACGGGCAGAGCAGCTCCTTCTGAGTTTATTCACTCTGCTGCTGTCAGGATGAGCTGCAGCGCGTTAGGAGGCAGAGGGATATTTCAGCGTCATTTAGTTTAGAGCCCAAACAATCGACTTCACTTTCAGAAACAGGCCCAAAAAATACCTGCAACCCGCAAGTCATGAAATTTAAAAGTGACTTTAGAAAAATTAAGACCAAAGTCATATAAAATAAGTGGGTTTCGCAACAGTGAGCATGCTTTCTAAGTGTGACGTGTCACTCCGCCGCTCTGGTCAGTACACAAATGTTCCAGCAAATTCTACATTATGAAAAAGAAAACACACCGAAAATCCTCGCTCTCATGTCATCTTGAAGACATCCTTTATCCAAATGTTGGCTACAGACGACATTGTTTCTCTCTGGCCAGAAGCACGATGGCAAATCCTCCCTCTTCAAGTAGGTAATCCAACAAAAGAGCCCGGTGGATCATGAATCGGAAAGGTGAAAAAACGACTGTTTTTTCCACTTTTACCTGATGCATTGGAACATCCAACTGCCATGCATGTGAGCATTGTTGCTTTAACAATAGCGCCCGCGAATTTCAATGGTGAAGTCCTCTGGAAATCCGAAATAATTGTTTCTGTTCGCAGCTGTGTAGAACAGCTCCTATTAAATTAGCTTGTAAAGCGCAGAGAACTGCCGTCGGATCTCCACGATTCTACGTCACAGGATGTGATGTCAGGCTGCATACACAGTGATCTAGACACAATTTATGCTTTTTTTTCTTATTGATTAACGCTAAATTCATTAAATACCCACAAACATATTAGTTTTAGTTATAGCTAATGATCCCCTGATTTTTTTCTGGTTGACCGGACTTCCCCTTTAAAGAATACTGTCGAATGCATATCAAATACAATTAATTTTTGTTGTGCATTAGTCTAGTTGTAATTTATGCACATGGATTTTGTAATGACTGACACTTTTTGCCTATTTTTGGTGTTGTTTTCTAGATATTGAGATCAGTTTGGTTGAAGATGAATCAGAATCATCAGTGCAGGCCAACCCTCTTGTCCCTCCAACATCACCAGTTTCTCTGTCAGATCATTCCTCATCCCCTGCTTCTTCTTGTTCTTCGGATTCAACTCTTATCCTCAAAAGTACAAAGAGCAGAAAGAAGGGCCAAGAAGAGCTTGATCGTGATCAAGCAAAACAGGTCAGAGGCAAAGCCTAAAACCAGTTATTGGTGTTGATCTGAATTTTAGACTTTGGGTCAGCTACTTGAGGTTAATCAGAATATGTCTTTTTGTTTTACAGATGGTGTATACAGTCCTGAGGTCAAACCCAAAGGGTGAAGAAATCTTTAACGAATATGACAAAACTAAAACGCTCTCAGATGCAACTCGTCGGCAAATGGTCAACATACTGGTCGCAGATATGATAGAATCTCATGGGTATAACTCTTTTGATGACCAAAGAAAGCCGTGTTTACTGACCACACTAGTGATACTTCTTTTTGTTTTCAAAAGGAGGATCCCACCCATAGGTGTTCGGACTAACTATGCCCTGGGGATTGCAACACTTTTTCCATATCTTCAGGATCCATATTCAAAAAATGGTTATGTATGTATTCTGTCTGAAACTCCACACATCATTTTGCCATGTTTTTACAGTTTTGACAAATAAGTGTCCTTTAGTGTAATTTTGATTGTGTGTCTTTGTGTGCCTGATGTGCCTTCATGTGCAGGAACATTACTATGACCCTGAGGCCAACAGTGGCTATCTTGCTTGGAGACTCAAGACTGTCCAACGCAACACCTACGATGGTGCACGTGGGGGTCCCAGGCCAAATTTCCAGGACAGTCCAACAACCCAAAGAGAATCTTTGCTAGTTGGTGAACAGCTCTTCGGCGAGGACCTCAGAGAGGCTCTGTCTGTTATCAGACACTCAACAGATAAGGCTGTGGTTAAAGAGAAGATGAGAGCCACCTTTGAATATCGACAGAAGCTGGTTCATGACCCAGATGCAACATCATCAGTGTTGGATGTCTTCCCTAGATTTCTTGATACACCTATGTTGGTAAGTGTGTTTCTGGATGATGCATTTAGGCACTAATGTATAAATTGTGCAAATAACATGTTAGTAAGCAGCATTTGGTGTCTGTTTTTTCTTTTTAAAAGATTGATCAGGATTTCTCAATGATGTTTGGGGAGGAAGTTTCTGGAAGATTTCTCTCCAAGTGGCCGTCATACTTCAAGCAAAAAGTCATTACAGATAGCCAAAGTCTCTGATCAAGTCCCTGTGTCGACGAGTTACAAGCTTCTGTTGACCCGGAACTTCCATCTGTCTTTGGTAATTTTGGGCAGTGTTTTAGTATACAAAATAATAATATTACACTTTTTCTCTTGCTGTACTGTAAACTGCAAGCAAATATATCTCAAGTGATTTATGCATATTTGGTTTTTGAATAAGCTTTAAAAAGTGTATCTGTTTAACTGAATTTTGTCTCCAATGTGCTTTTTTGTCTTTAAGGCTGGGACAGTGACATTGCAGCTCTTCTGCTGTTGCTGCATCTGCTGCCCCCCACATCTGGAGGCCACAAAAAAACAGCAAAGATTAGCTCCGCACAGGCAGCCAATCATCTCGTAAGAGTTGTCAAGGTATGCACCCTTAACACATTGGAACTGATGATTTTTGTTTTTTCTTTATGCAACACTAGTTTGTAAAAATGAAATGCCATGAGATATAAACATGTATGATGACATAAATACAGTCACCTTTGGTGTATCTTACATTGAATAATATATATAACATAATAATATATATAACATATATATTGTTACACATTGTTACATGTTTTGAAAAATATTTTCTAATTGTGGTGCACTTTTGAAATAAATATTTTCTGAAAAAAAAAAAACATTGCTTCTTTATTTATTTATTTTTCCCAAGGGATTTTTATATGTTCAGAAAAGTAAATTCTTCAGCATTTAGTATTGGAGAATAACTCCTATGTAGTTAGAAAAAACATTCCATGAGAGTGTTAATATTACAATTCTAACACCTAGTTGGTGTAATTAAGTGTTAAATGATCAACTCCAGAAAGATTTATTATTTAACACTAAATATGAGTTACGGTGCCAACACTCCAAAAAGAGTCAAATTAACTCTCTCTGGTGTGGACCCATATAGACACTTCAAGAGTGTTAAAATCAAATCTGACAGTGTTGATTTGAGCATGTTGGATTTGCTGTATGAGCTGTCCATTGAAGGTCTGTAACACTGAAATGGGTTTAATAAAAGTTGAAGTTTCCATTTCTGTGTATTGTTTTGAATATTTTTTTACCACTGGATTTGGTTGATATTGACACCTTGTGGGGTCAATTATTTACCTTTTTAACACAACATTATATTTGAGTTTAACACTACATTAGTGTAACTTTTGACATTATATTTTAACACTAACACCGTTGTAATGTCAATGGGACACTCGGTATTGTTGAATATTAACAATATCTAGTGTTAATTTAACAAAAAAATAGGTGTTAACCTTTTAACACTTTGAAAAGTGTTACTTTAACACCAGGTGACTTGGACACATATAGACACGTTGTGGGTGTTAAAATTAACACTGTGGGTGTTAATTCACCACCGCCATTTTTACTGTGCACTCCTTTGGTACTTTTTCTGGGTTTCGAAAGCATCTTAAAGCACATGAAC